GGGTCTATATTGGTGTCACCTCTTTTTTGGGAAGCTATCCAATTGCACAATGAGATCCACTCAGCCAAAAGGGAACTATCATTCCAGGGGCTCGAAACGGTAAAATCCCGCGCTCCCAGGGTTGTTTTGCAAGTGAATCGAACTTTTCACGCCCATAATATACTAAAGTAGTTTCAATTTTCTTTTCCATTATCCCTACACAACCCCTATATGTCCCCTATGTTTTTTCATGATTTGGGATCTAAGGTTGCCATTCCTGGGTCCCGCTCAAACGGTCCTTGCGCAGTTCAAATTCCTTACATTTGTTCGTCCGCAATGATGAATCCCATCCCCTCATCATGAACCCAGGGCCCTCATAATATGTATTCCATTCCCAACCAACTATAAGACACTATCATTGGAGTATATTAGGGGTGTGTGTGGTTTCATGACTAGGAACATGCCATTTGGAGTTGTTCCAGGGGAAGGAATTACTGCTGCAGGATTCGTCATGATAGGTGTTGCCAGGGTATAGTTGCCGATGTCCTGAGCATTACTCCCTCATCGAATCCTAGAACAACTCCTTGTTTTTGTATGGCAAAGTCTCATTAAGGTATAATCCATCCTGTGAGAAGAAAAAACGTCCCTATCAGCCTCAGTATTATTCTATGTTGGTATTCTATTGAGAATTTTCATTCTTGCGGGGTTGTTGATTTTATGTAATGGGGTGAGGTGATTCATGAAGCCCAAGCCTGGAGGAAGTCCTGGACATTGGCAGGCAGCAGGAAAGGTACCGTACCTGGAGATCGGGTGAGGACGACGTTTGTTTGGCTGTGGCGATTGGGTGTGGTCTGGTTGAAATCAAAAAGAATTTCGTCACTTCTCTGGAGCAATAACAAGGCCAGAGGCACAGGTGCATATGTTGACGACGAGGGGTAATGTTTCCGGGTTGAGGTTTTAGGGTGTGCTAGTTTCCAATAATGGGGAGATCCCAATATACACCCCACATATTGTGACCCTTATTTTGGGGACTATCAAAATGGTATCCCTAATTTTGGGAAACCCCCATCCTTAAACTTTAGACCCTGAACCCTGTATGTCCCTATATAACCCCTAGAATCCGTTTGAAGGTTGCCCCTAATTTAGCAAACCCCCACGTAGGATCTAGGATTGGGGCTTCGACGAGATAGGGCTTGGAGGTTGAAGGATGTGAAATTTAGGGTTTAGGGTTGTTCAGATGGCAGACTTGCGGCTATCCTTTACGGAGCGGTTGATTCCCACTTCCATGCAAGGGTGCTCTGACGGTTTCTTATCTTTAGTTCGGTTGATGCCAGCGAGACGACTGACTCTGTATACGCTGTACATGATCATCATGCTCACCCAGCATTGTCAAAGAAGGCATGTGGAAGTGTAGATGACGTTCCTGGGTTGCTGGTGAGGAATTTAATTTAAATATCACAAAACAAAGGATTTACTCATTATAGTAACTTAGCTTACGTTCCTTAACAGCAACCCAGGTTATGGCGGGTTCGGGTAATTGCTGGGGCGCACCTTGGGCTCCCAACAGCATATTGAACTGTTTGCAATGATCGATGCGCTGGCACTTAAGTGGTGAGGCCAAGCTTGAGTGCATTTTTTTTTTTCAGGGAGATGGCCAAGGGGGCTGGACAGGACAGACCCTCTAAGAACCCTGTACCCTAAACTTAAACCCTAAACCAAAAACTCTAAGCCCTACACCCTAAACCCTATTTCAAGGCGTCATTTCTCATGGCTATGTCCATTTTTGGGTCCCCTGGAATCTTCCTTTACATTTGTCCTTGAAGCAAGTTGTTTCTCAAGGTTGTGGAAGCCTCTCCTCGTAAAGAAAGCTGCAAATTTTATTGTTTCGAAGGTACATCGAAGGGAATTAGACAAATACACACATGAGTGGTTAAGCAATCCTCCAAACACAATGCCAGTATTGTAGGTTGGGTTCCGTACGCCCCCGCACAGGCGTTAATTATCTTGAGAACTCTCCGTAGTTTGGATCGGATGGTCCTAAGATCTAAACCTTACAAGCTTCCGAAGCTTAGAGTCCCCCTAAACCGCACAAAATATGTGCAGTGCCTTGAGGGTTGCTAAGCTGGAATCAGAGCCCTTAACTCTCAATGTTCAGGTGCTTCATCAGTGATAACAAGGTGGATTCCGAAGTGTGAAGGGACATGAAGCCAACACTTTATCTCTAAACCCATGGCCCGAAACACTGAAGGTCCAAGACAGAAGCCCCAATCCTCTACTCTACTTGGAGGGCCCCGGAGACTTAGTAAGTAGGTTGATAACCCCTATGACACATATAGTAACCCCATTGATCCCCATTCTCAACCTACTTAATACGTCCCCCAGACCCCCCCAAACCCTAAACCCTAAATAGTGGTTTTCATTTTCTTTTCCATTGCTACTAAGACCCCCTCAGCCCTGAGCCAAGCGTGCAAAGCTTTTTTCGCCCTCAAGCCGCTACCCTTGCCCAAAGCTATAGTTCTCCTTAGGTAGATAGAATTTAGGGCTTACGGTTTAGGGTATAGTCCCCCTTAAGTACATAGAATATGGCTTTGGGTAGATTACAATAAGATCCGCATATACCTTATATTCTATCTACTTAAGGGAGGACTATAACCTCGAAACAGGATAGCCTCCCTTGAAGCTTGCTAATGTTTGTTACCCTTAAGCCGGAGCTAACGTGATAAATCCTACAACCCGAAACTCTAAACCTCAAAATCTGAACTCTACACTATCCTATATCCTAAGACCCTAAGACCCCAAGCCTAAAACCTGGACCGTCGTGCCCAAAACTCCAACAGCTTGAACCCTCAGCCCGGACTCCCCAAAATCTAGAATTCTTAAATCCTAACGCCACTAATGCCCCAAAATCCCTAAACCCTGAACCCCTTAGACTTTCGAACCTCAAGCCCTAGCCCTGCTCTAAACCCTAAACCCTACAAGTCAAAAAACCCTACTCCCTAAACCCTATATATCCTCCTTCTAGGAGTTTAGACCCCAAGCCTTGCAGGACGTCCCCGATCTCTTCCAGGGCCAACTCGCCAACTCGGGCCTGGTCGCCACCTGACTTTTTAGGGTTTAAGAACTACGTAGGGCTATAGATAGGATATATAGATCACATGAGGGTCATACAGGTATTGGGGGTCTAGGTTTAGGAATATAGGGTTTAGAGTCTAGGGTTTAGGAATATAGGACTTAGGGTTTAGGCATTTAGGTTTTAGGAATATAGAGTGTAGGCAATTAGGGTTTAGTAGGAATATAGGGTTTACGCTTTAGGCATTTAGGGTTTAGGGATTAGGGGCTTAGGGTGTTTGAGGGTGTATTGCGGATGACGCCTGGGGCCTGGTTGTCACCTGACTTTTTAGGGCTAAGGCATGATAGCAGCTATAGTCTAAACAAAATCCTTAAAGGGCGGTTTTATAACGGATTATATGGGGTTTAGGGTCTCAACTCCTTATAGGGGGGTTATAGAAAGGATTAGATAGGGTTTAGGATGGTTTAGGGTTTCGAGGCTAACTTCTCAGAGGGGGAGTATGTAGGAGGTTATATAGGGGATGATTACAGGGGATATTAAAGGGGATACTCGGAGTTTAGACGATATCTCACACAGTGCTAGTATCGATAATAGCTTGGTAAGGGACCCTTAATAGTGGACATAAGAGACGTTTTGCGTTGAGGAATATAAAAACGCGTGTTAGGGTAGGGATTAGGGTTTAGTGTCTAGGGTTTAGGCATTGGGCATTTAGGGTTTAGGGTCTTTAGGGTTTATATCGGGCTATATAGGTATATAAAAAAGCGATCTAGGACTGGATAGAGCTTATACATGCATTATATAGGGGTACCGAACGATTACATAGGGATTGTATAGGGTTAGGGCCATAATAATGGAAAGCTTCTTTTCAGTTTTTTTCTCCGTTTTAAAGGTAGTAAGGGGGGTTTGGAGGATATGGCTTTTAGGGTAGTAGGGTTTCAGGGTTTTAGGGTTGGGTTTTAGCATTTGGGGTTTAGGGTTTTAGGATTTGGGCTTTAGCGTTCTTTGGGGTTTTAGGGTTAAGGGCTTACAGGTAATGAGAGGGATTTTGGTGACTGCTATAGGAATAATGGAACAAGAAATAACTACCAGCTACCATGTTGGGTAGTGCCCCCCTCAGTAACAGTTGGATAATAATTATAATAAGGTTATGTACAGCCCGTAATAGGACCCCTAATATAGACTGTTACTGGGTGGGGGCAGTACCCAAGGTTTAGGGTGTAGGATTCAGGGATACGACAGTGGAGAATCAAATGGAAAAGGGTCCTAAACTTGAAACTTGGGTCATATGGGTGGAGGGATGGTTACCAATGCTTTTGGGTTTAGGGTCTAGGGTTTAGGGTCTAGGGTTTAGGGTTAAGGGTTTAGGTGGATGGCTGTTAAAGAAATGTGCTAAGTGAATTATTTTCGGATATACTGGATGGCATGGTTGCTTAGCCTTTTCAGCAAGATGAAAGTTCATCCACAGCAGCAACTTTTTTGGGATACCGCTTGAGAGGTTATAAAGGATTTGCAAGACATGTAGGGTTATACAGACGTTAGTTAGAGGGATGTGTAGGATGGCATGCCGTATAGGGTTGGGGGGTGCACCCAGGGTTGAGAGTTACGGGCTCGGGGGTTTCCTGGTAGTGTTGTGCATGGATTAGAACATGAGTTTTCTTGGGAAAGATGTGAGGGATATCTTGGCTTAGGCCCGCATTGTTGACCGTATAATTGTAAACGCTAGCGCGCGCCCGCCTCGGCTGGCCGGGCTTCCCACTGTAGGAACATGTAATTATAGATATACAGGTATTTAAGTTAGGTATATGGATACAGTCATATGCCTAATACATACACAATAAAACCCTAGAAGTCCAACTAGGGACGCGCAAGTAGGACCC